CTCGGGCTTGTCTTAGAGGAGGCTCTGGATGTCTTTGAAGGAGGAGCAAGAGAAGTTGAAGGAGCGAGATCGAGAATGTGACGGCGAATGCTGCCACACACTCCGCTGGAAACCGTAACTAATTGGTTACACTTTTTAAAAACAAAAATAAAAATTAAATGCAATGACATGACAATTTATAATTGGAGGGACAGGGTTTGAAGACAGGAGTTGGAGACATAAGATTTTCATCCGTTGAAACAATGGAATGCTACTTTACAATAAGCAACATTGAAAATCAAAGGAAACAAAATATAAAGGAAATAAACACTCGATGGTGAAAAAATGGAATGCTACATTACAATTAGCAACAATGAAAATCAAAGGAAACAAAATATAAAGGAAATGTACCGTAAAATGGAGAATAGATTTTGTAGTGATATGAAGTTGGTTTAACAAAAAGAAGATGAAGTAAGAAAGACGGGATTTTGATTCATTAAAAAAATAAATTGAGGCAGAATAATCTACGTATATGATAAACACTCAGTGTTGAAATAGGATGAAAATTTTTTGTCTCCAACTCCTATCTCCAAACCTTGTCCCTCCAATCATGTGAGTTCCGTCTTTGTTTTTTGAGGCATTATGGATCCCTTTGCAGGGCGGGGTTGGCGTTGCTGAGGTGGAGGTCTGCGTTTCTGGGCAGACCGTCCGAGTTGCCAAGGTGGTAAGTACTGTCTTTTCAGACTTTTCACTCTGCCTTTTTGTTATGTTGTTTGGCTGTTTACCATAACTGAAGGCGTTCAATGAGGCGCTGCAGCTCCCCGCTCTCGTGGAGTTGCCGGACCTTGTCGGCATGAAGTCGCGCGGCAGTGCAACGCTGCAGCGGCCGAGGATCCCGAGGAGCTCGTCGCGGAAGCGGTCGTCGATGGAGATGTCGCGCTCGTTGACGGTGACGCGGAGGCCGCGGAGGATGGATCGGACGGCGCGACAGTCGTCGAAGGTGCAGGGAACGATGCAGAGGGAGGTGAAGTAGACGATGACGCCTTGGTCGAGGCCAGGCGGCAATGTGGCGGGGGAGG